TTCCTTCAGCCCCTATCTAAGGTACTCAGTGGGTTTTATCATCATCATCACCATCATCATCATCTCCTTACTTCTAGTTCTAGGTTTCGAAACTCCAGCAGCTCATTCTGGTCTCGGGCGTCCTGTAGCTCCTGTTGTAGCCGGTGATTTTCTGCCTCTTGTTTTTCTATCTAATAAAGTAAATCCTGAAGTTAGGTGAGCATTGCAAAAAGCAACTACAATTTTGCAAAGCAAGCATGGCTAGTGTTAACTTCCTCGGTGAATCAATCATCTAGACCATGAAAAAATTCCCAAGAAGATGTGAATAAAATAGTTTTTGGCTTTCCTTTTAGTTATCCTCCAGCTAAGATGTCTGAGTTATAAAGAAAAATGATGGAAGAAATCTCTGTTTCTGAGGATAAAGTCCAAGGCTCCTGTGAATAGTAAATGTGAGCTACTCATATGCTCTTGTGGGACAAACATGGTGGAGTAGAACAAAGTCAAGGATTTCTATAAGGGGTATTGACACCTCTCAATTCTGGAGATACCACTTGTCAGGGAAGTATATTTTATTGTAAATGGACAATTTATAATTGTATAGATTTATAGGGTAAAAGTGATGTTATAATTTGTGAATATATGTGACATAATTATGTCAAGACAGTTAATTCATCCAGAACCTAAAATACTTGACATTTTTGTGGTGATAATATTTGACATTTGTGCTCTTAAGGGTTTTGAAATGTAAAATAATTTTTTAAAAAAACAACATTTATCTTATACAAAACTTCACTAAATTCCAATTATCTACAGGATAAGGGCAAACTCCTAATTATGAAATTCAAATACTTTAGTAATCTGTTCACCATCTAACTCTAAATCCAGTTTTAAATGTATCAGTATCATTCCTAAAAATCTTCTATGTACTCACGTGACCAACCACATACACACTAGAATCTGGCAACCTCAATCTACCCAGATGAAGTGATTCTTCTAGAACTCTGTCTTTTCTTTCTGAAAAGCACTTCCCTATCTCCTTTTCTACAGACAAAACCCTACATTTCTTGGGCACCAAGCTCTAAGGTCCATAAGAACTTTCCTGGGTTGGGGGAAGTCTACCCATTTGGAAGTGACACCTCTTCTTTCTGTTTTCCTATAGGACTTTCTTACAGGACATTTATACAACATGGTAAAGCATAGAATTAAGTTAGCTGTATACAAATGTGCCTCCTCCTGTATACAGGCTTCTTGTCTGAGTCATCTATGGATATAAGGGATCAGAAAATCTTTATGAATGGCAATAGACTTTGGGCTTCCTTTGACACTAGCTATGTGGGTGGGCATTATGCACAGTAAGTATTTAAAAATCTCAGATTTAGAAATACAAACCCAGAGTCTATTTCTTTTTATCACAGAATGTATCTTACTCACCCAAACATATACTTTTAAAGTAAAATATTTACTTTTAAATTTATTCTTAGAAGCCAGAGCTCAAAACTTCTCCTTTTGGACCAAATTTAAAAAAAAAAAAAAAACACTAAAGGAAATCAGATATAAGACATACTGGGAATCATTTCTCATGATAAAAATGAAATAACACTTATTATTAGACATCTCTGAAATTAACAGGAAAGAAAAGGTGGTAAAATTATGGAATATGAATTAATGTAATCAACTCAAGTTTTTTCTTCTTCTTTTCTTGCAGTGCTGGGGATGTAAACCAGGCTTTCACGAATACCAGACAAGTGCTCCAGCACTGAGCTATATTCCATCCCTTAACTCAAGTTTTTTTTTTAACTCTAGATCTTAGTGGTTCAGTGAACTTTCAGATGTCTCTAGAAATTGACTCAGACTGTAAAGGAGATTCTACATTCTGAAATCTTGAATTGGGTCAGTAATGGGATATTTGCTGGTCCTGGTAGTTAGTGAAACAATTAGATCAGCTGTCTACAGATTTGAGTTCATGGGCTGGCACTAAGGACAA